ATCTTTTCAGCACACCATTGAAAATACCTTGTATAAAGTAACACGTTACTTAGCTCTTCTAAAATATTATTTACATTATGAAAAGAGAGGGCTCTGAGCAAAAACATGAAAGTACAATTTTAAGCTGTACTTCTTAAAGGAATACGTTTTTTTTCAATTGACCATACCAGAAAATTAAACATGTCCATATATTAATAAAATAAATAATTGTAACAATTTGGCAAAATGATGAAAGAAAAAAACTTTTAGTTTAGAGTTCTGGGTCATTTCACCACCCATTTGTGCCCAGAACAACTGAATTAAACGTTTTTTTAGTAACATGCTTCAGCCCATATATTATTTACCTCATTCATTATTTTATCAACTGCAGAGTAGAACAAGGTAAAAATCATGTATCTCATCTTTTAGAGGTAATCTCACATTCAAATCTAAAATTTCACATTTAAGAGTGCCTCATGGAACCACCTTGTATGAACGTGTACTATATTAGATTCAACACAAAAGTGAAAAAATCCACCTAAATTATTTATATGTAAAGTAAAGATCAAATGGTCTCTATACAATATAATTCATAACTGTATTTACTTTCTTGATAACCAAACTCATCAGAAAGTAGAGAAATCTAAAAAATATAATGAACCCCTTTTCATTAAAAATTCCAATTTGTTCTGAAAAAGCTTTTGGCAAGATTTAAATAATGCTGTGTGATCTACTATCACAGCTATACATAATCTATTTTAAACACTCTTAATGAGATTTGGGAATATAAAATAATTTTAAGCAAGATAAAGAGAATTCACATAAATAAAAGGATTGTCTTCACAGTATAATCATTTTCAAGACATTCAAATAAACAATACAGTGCTGAATCAACCTGTCACAAGCAACATACAAATGTAGTAGAAGAAATCACAATTTATCAAGATAATAAAAAACAATTCTAAAATACATTATCTCATTTGAGTGGAGAGGTACTGTAAAAAAGAATAAACCAGGTAAAAATATTTCTCAGCTTCCTTCCTCTCAGATTCAGTTCTACAGGTTTCTTTTCCTAACAAAAGATTGTAATTCAAGATGCTAAAAAAGATTGATCCTCATAACATATGCTTTTTCATATTTCATGGTTCTGGAAGCCTAAGGAAAGAAAATATATTTAGCATTTAGTGGTAGGTAAGAACCACCTATTGTGAATTCGTGTATTTGAAGGCTTACTAAAAATTACATTTGCTTGTTTATATATTCCTAAACTATAAATAATGATTTTCTTTGAACCAGAGAAGGGAGACAGGAGAGAAATTTTTACCTCTCAGCATGGTCTCGGCAGGCATTGAACAAGTACAAGAAACCTGTCTGGGCCTTATTCTGTTTTCTTTGCATTCAGTGAGCTCACAAAATGGACATAATTGTGGATCTTCCAGTGCTACCATAATTGACACTTCATTGTAGGAATTATATAGTTTAGTCTGCAATGGGTGCTTTAAAATATTTGGTTTCCTATAATTTAACAAGATTTGTCCTAATATTTTAACATTACAAAAGCCATATACTGTACCGTGTGTGCTGCAATAGTGGGGTATTACCAATATATAGTGATCCCCACATGTAAGAAGTTGCAGCCAGAAACAATAGTGCACCCCCAGACCAGAATGAAACAGTTATTCTACTTTATATAATTGACCTTATTCTATATACTTCCTCAAGCAATTACAATAGCTTAACAAGAGCTGTCCAAACAGTTTTAGATTAAAAAAGCCACATGTTAAGTGTACATCAACCATTAATAATTTTCTATTTTAACCCTACACTAAGATTCACACTAAGAGTTAATTGCTTTGTCTTAAGATGATAAAGTAATACTGAAAAAGTTTAAAAGAGTGTAAAACTAAAAATTGTATTTAATCTCATTTAATATTGTTACTGTGATCTTATACCATATTTAAAGTTAACTCTGATTGACAGACATTTACAGTAGCTAACACCTTTCAGGAATATTCCACTAAACGTTCGTGCTTTGTTTGGAATGGGAGGAAATTACATGACTTGATTGCATGCATTTTGTGTGACAGTAAAAAACCCAGAAAAGTTTATATTCCATACTATACTGACTCTCTTGGTGTAAGTATCCTACAGAAAAGATAACTGCAATTTAAAGAAAAATAAATCTGCGGCTGCAGTCCATTATTTCTCACAGGCAGATGCTTTTATTTTTCGTCAGCAAAAAGTTTTCGCTTCTGTGAAAAAGATTAAGTCTGCATTTTTGTATTTAAGTCTGCATGTGGGTCAGATATTGCTTTCTACAAATGCACAGTAAAAATGAGCTAAAATGCTGTGGTATTACTGTGATGTATTTTAAGTAGGTTTAAAATGACTAAGACTCATTGAAAAATAATACTTTAGAAACCTTTTCAAAAGCATTATTCTTTTTTACTTTTCTCTATCATAAGATTAGCAAAAAGAATAAAATATATTTTTTAAATGTCACCCCATCCTCTGCATCATTGTACGTATCGCTGTACCTCAAATAGAAATGTTTTCACTCCTTCGTAAAATTGTATAAGCTGACGTTTGTGCTTGTGTATTTAATTTTGAGGTACTTTAAAAATAAAAGACAGCTATACTGTATTACATAAGTAATGTAATGTGAATATTATATTTCAAATCGTTTGTGCCAAAATATTCTGTCAGTTTGGTTCTTGATTAAAATGTGTGATGTCCATCGGGCTTCCTGATGACATATTAATAATTAATTCTCCCAATGACACATTTATCTGAAGCATGTAAGAAACACTAACAGCATAAAGTAAAGGAAGTTAATTAACATGACGTGAAGTGCATCATCTACTACTGTATGTACTAAGTTACAGAGGCAATAATCAGGCATAAATTCTATGTAATAGCAGGTTAGGGAACATTTTCAGGTTTAATAGAAGAATCTACATAGCAAACGCCCTTGACTTCTTTCAAGATGTAACTCAAAATTAAGATTGTAAATGGATTGTCAGAAAGCTCCTGATAAGGCACCATACAAGATATTAAGTCTTAAGCTTTAATCAGCAAGAGTTAGCTGTGAACAATATCAGAAACAAGACTGACCTATATCATGGGATCCGGACAATGTGAGAATAGAGGGCACTTTCCTTTACCCCATTTTCCCACATGCTTTTAGTCTTGACAGTCCAGCTGAGCTGCACCTCAAAATGAGCTATCAGAGCATTAAAATAATTTTATTTATACAGTATATACTGTATATGCACCCACAAAATGGTTGTTAAATGTTTCTCTCTCTGATTTCCTTTATGACTGTTCTGTATAAGGCTCTTCGTCTTAGCTCTATCTGTAGAGTACCTGTTCCTATATTATGGAAAATAGTACAAATGTATTCCCGGTTGACACACTACAACTGTTTAGAACGTTTTGATTGCTTTGTGGCTTTATGTCTCTCTTTTCATCTCCTAAAGCAGAACAGCTCTTATTCCAGCATCCAAACTCTCTAATCCCCCTAATACATGTGTCACTCTTAGACATAGCTACAGTGTAACACAGGCATACAATAACCCAGTGTAAAAACTGAGCAGAACCCAGTTTTATTCTTATTGTAATTAGTTTGTCAAGATATAGGAAAAACAGCATGCAGTCAGGCATGTCTTCTGAGATCCCTAGATACGGTATAATGACATACATGCACCATTATATTTAGTACATGGAATTTAAATACTGACTTAAAATCTTTCCTTGAGATCAACTCTTGCCCTGCTAGATATGGTGCATCTTGTTAAAATTATTGTAACTTCCCATTTTGCTGCATTCAAGTTATGAATTTTTCCTCAGACAACGTTTTCTCAGACAATGATTCAAATGCTTTACCTGCAATACCAACTGGGTTGAAGTTTATTTAAAAAACAAGGCACATTCATTAAATTTATGATGCACGAAATCTGTCAAACATAATGTCAGATTCAAAGTTACTGACACATACCTTGTTCTTGATTTTCAGCCATTAACTTTCCTTAAAAACTTAAATTCTTGAGCCTTTCATAAACAGCTCTATTGGTGTCTGTCCTAAAATCTCAGTTTGGCTGATCTGTACTATATAATGTATTTTACATCATAGATTGACCAATAACCATATAAAATGGTTGTCAGCATTGAATGTAGCTGAGTACCAAAAAAATATACTTTTTAGTATTTCTGATTATTTTGTGAAACACTAAATTCCTATTAATATATACTAAACTTAATTCAGGTATAATTAACTCTATATACATGAGTTCTCCTAAATTAAAAGCACAAATAGTTTACATATTTAGTTAATGTTTAAAGTGGTACTTCCTTTCATTCAATCATGCGTCACACCATGAAGAATAAATGTTTCCTACATGAGAAAAACAAAACTATAATCACCTCCTCGCACAGCTAAAATACAGTATGTATAATAATCTTTCAAAACAAACATTTTACATTTCCAAAACAAACCCCAAGTTAATTTCTTGAAAGTCTGTATTTGCAGTCTTGTTTACAGCAGGTAACAAAATTCCTAGAAAGTAATTAGAACTTAGACAACTGAAGTGACACCTGCTCTGCCCTTTGGAATCAATTGTAGTGCTTCATTAAAGCACCATCTTTTTCCAGCTAATTGTCGAGCTGTGCCACAGATCCATGATCTCAAACTAAAACCAAATCACTATCTCCAAGTTCTTAGAATTTCTCATTTATTTATGATTCATGATTTACCTGATCTGCTTTATAAAAAAAATAAGTGTCTCCTCGAGTGGATTTCTTATTTTGCATTTTTTCTATACCAGGTTTAATTTATTCAAATATTTCCTGGCAGTGTCCAATTTGAGATTAATATCCAAACCTGTTTTCCAAAGGCATCCTGAGGGATTTTTCACCTTTATGAATATTTATGCTTGTACTTATTCAGTGTGTCACAATGTTCTCATTTTTAAAATGGTAAAACTGCTTTACAGGCAAAATAATAAAAAAAGTTGAATACTAACCTTAAACTCCTCAAGGGACTTGTAGGTTTTTCCTCGGAACTCGCAGTAGTTTTTTCTCTCTTTGCACTGTGGGCAGCACTGGCTGGTGTCCACTCGGATACAGCGGGGGTGGACTTTGGGGCACTCCGGTTTGGCACATAGTGGCCCTTCTTCAGTACACAGGCAAGGGCAAGTGGATGGGCCTGGAGTAAACTTCTCACCGATGGCAAACACAAAGCCACTCTCATCCACACAACCCTTGCCACGATAGTCAGGGTAGGCGTACTCATCTAGACTGTCAGGGGTTACATTGGATTCACTGGTGGGGCCCTCATCCATTTGTTCTAGGGATACCTCTTGCTGCTCCTGTTGTTTCTCACTTTTGGACCCAGTGTCCTGACTACTCCACCCCATTCTTCCTTTGCTAAAGCTAGTCTTGTTCCCTTTGGTCTTTCCCTGCTTGTTCACTTCATCTCTTCCCATTCTGCTGATCTCCTCCAGACGTTCCTGAGTGGCCTGGCTTAGCCCACTTTTGGAAGCTTGGTCCTCTTTACTTTGAGTCAAGGCACGCTCCAGCCTCTCCTGGCTCATTTGCAGGGGGATTGTGGGATTGCAGAGGACACCCATCAGGCAACACATAAATAGAAGGGCTCTAGAAAGAATGCCAATCGTCATGGCAAGAGAATGCCGCATTGTTCTCCAGCACCCACAGGGGTGAGGATGCTCACTTCACCAAATCACATCACCATCGTCATATCCCAACATGCACCTGAAAAACAATATGAAACAAAGCACAAAGCATTTATTTTGCTTGTGCACAGACAAAACTCAAAAATTAAATAGAAACATTCTGCTTTTCCCTAGTTCAAGATTATTTTGCTTCCATAGTAACAGGTGTTTAATCAAAATCACTTCACAAGGTGATTAATTTCACATGGAATCAATTGACTTATTTTAGTGTGAAAAGGAAAGGAGAGCTACAAGACTATATACTGTATGTCATGACTGTGCTGGTGAAAGAGTAGCACACAAACACAGAATTTATATAGAGTTACAGTATATGGGCTTCTGCCCTAATCTCCTGATTATTCCGTTTACATTGCAGTTATAAGTTGATGGCTCTTGAATTTCTAGCTGAAATATCCATCCACAAAGTAAAACTAAATGAATATTACAACAGGACAAACTGGTCATACAGCATATCCAAAGGTAAGTTCTATATAGCACACAGACACAGACTCTGTAGCAGGTTACTACTACCTTTTACCAATGATATGCAACACTGTAGAAGGTCTAACAGGCTTGCATGAGGTACTGTAGAAATTAAGCTAAAATACATGTACTTAAAGATTTATAGCAGAATTTCTACAGGTACTTCCTAATAGAGCTCCCTATCTGAACATCTTTATCGTGCTGTTAAATTGCTGATATTTCTATTTATTCCGAGATTATTCAAGCAATATGTAATGCACTGTCTAAAACAGTTGTCACTGAGCAGCTGCAATACTTTAATTTATCTAGTGTGAGTCTGGTTGTTGTTTCCTGTTGTGAATTGAATTGAATAGGAAATGCGGCACATCAACTAGTTGGGAATTGAACAGTGAATTAAAGCATTGCTGTATATACAGTATATAAATCCATTCTGTATGCTGTATATTGTATATTGTGAGATAACCACATGTATGTCAGTATTTTCCTGAATTACAGTGTACCTGATAATACTGTTCTATGCACATAACCAATCCTAGGCTTATAATGCACCTGAAGAAGGCAAAGTGTGAATAATTCTTAGTTCACAAATAATATCAAGACCATGGAGTCTGTAAATTTCAAAGAGGAACATCTTAACAAACCCTTAATAAGAACAGTTATTTTATTTAGAAAAGGATAGGATCAATTTAAACCACTTTGTGCTTTCACTATGCCTTAAAAGCTATTTTTGCACTAGTAAAAGAAGGAACTAACTCTTTAAACACCTGGCTTGATTTTCATAACCGGATCAGCATGTTGCTTCTGTTCAACACTGATCAAAACTGACATGGATTATTCACAGATTCACAGCACGCAGGAATAACAACCAAGTGAAGGTCAATCTGATGACTAAATACAAGTGAAATGAATTCAGTTCAAGAACCAGAACAAAACGATTTTGAAATTGGTATTTTTTGTGTGACAGAAATTAATTATTTCTTATCTGGAAGAAAGAATGCCAGAAAAATCAATTAAATAAGTAAAACAAATATTAGAAGGGACAAAATAAACTTTCACATTAATATCTAATACACCAGGACTAAAATAACCATGAAGTGTTTAATTGATATTACAGAATAGTTTGGAAGAAGTGAAAAAATACATATTTTGACTTTTTTTTCCTTTTGAGGAATGAATTATAGCTAGATTTATTAAAGACAAACTGTATGTCATTTCACTAGCATTTACTGGTTCAAAAGTTACAGGGTTGAAGTCACATTTTTTAACGAAAAAAAAATGTATATTGGTCTCTATGACATACCTATGCTCTTCACAACTGTGATATGAGAAATGTGACCTTTCAGTGAATTTTCTAGGAAAAGAATGCAATTTGAGTCAAATCAGAAGTTCTTCATGAATCCCAGTTTTAAGAGCTGTGTTTGACAACACACTTGTCATCTGCTTTTTTATTTTTCAGGTAATGTCACATTAATGAAATGTTCTTTCATTCCTCCTTTGGTTTCAACTCATTTTCTTTTACCTCTTTTCACAATAGTAATGGCGACTGTTTTTGTTCTTTAATTAACAGTCCACCCCTATTAATAAGGAATATTATGCATTTAAAATTGTTTAAAAACTTTTACACTGTTAAACATGATGTTGTTCAAATGGGCAAAAGTCTTCCCTTTGAAAACAAAAAAAACAGTTACTGTAGTTGAACATGCAAACACAGGACAAGTTTCTGGCGATGAAAAGGAGCATCTGACTATATTGCCACAGCTTGTGCAAAATGGAATCAAGCTCTATTTCTGCAAATGAAGGAGAACTATAACTGCAAATGAAAGCAACCAAATACCTTGGTGTCCATCTGACTTCTTAAAACAAATGCTTAATAAATGAGACTAAATAACTTATTCAGTGCAGTGACCCTGTGCCTAATGATCTGCACCTGTGGCTGGAAGGTTGCTGGTTCGTATCCAGCAGGCGGCACAGGAATCCTACTCTCTTGGGCCCCTGACCGAGGCCCTTAACCCCAACTGCTCCAGGGGTGCCATATAAATTGCTGACCCTACGCTCTGACCCCAAGCTTCTCTCCCTGTCTGTGTGTCTCATGGTGAGCAAGTTGGGGTACGTGAAAAGACAAATTCCTACAGTAATACAAGAAATTGTATATGGCCAATAAAGTGATCTTATCTTATATAACTTAAAGGTCAACTGACTGTGATTTACTTTATCTGGAGTTCAGCATCAGTTCTGGAGTGACAGTATTGAAGACTGCTCAGCCAATAATAGCAGAAAAAAACAAATGTAACATCTCTTATAAAACAGCTACTATATATAGGAGATATCCATACTGTATGTTATGTAGAACTATGCTTATTTATATTAGTCATATTCTTTGTGGTTAATGACTCAAATATGACCACATACTGTAAGCTAATAAAAAGGCAAGTTTAATTTAGCCCCAAAACCGGTATGAAATAATTGTGATTTTTTGGGGTAAGGGCAAGAGTCTTATAACATGGGACCTCACATAACCTGTTAACCCAGAGCCTAAATACAGGTACTAAGCCCTGGCTATGATGTTGCTTATATTCCATGTGCAAGTTTAAAATGGATTTACTGATGTGCTAGGTTTTAAGAGGAAGAGAAAGTATTCTCTTAGACTGCATCTCAATCAGGAGAGCCAGCTTGTCTATTTCTCTATTCCATATGAAAACAACTGGAAAAGTGTCTCTTTTAGAGGGGAGAGGAAAAATATATAGAGAAGGTAGATATTTTTAAGTGAACAATTAGATCATCCACAATGTAGAAAGCTGCCTCATAATAATTACTATGGGTGTAAATGTCTGAGCTGAATCTAAGGTACATAAAACAGAAAAATCAGGTACGTTAAGAAGCCTCCTTCGGGCCTTGAAACATGTTAAAGATGTAATCAAGAATATGAAGATTGCTTCTAGAAAGAAATGTGGGTAGGTTAGGAACCCATTAGCAATAGTCCAAATTTGTGAACGCTTAGGAAATATCACAAACTTGCCAGAATACATATGACGTTTCTCCAAATGTCCAGGAAGTTCACAATGACTGGGGTCATTCAAAAGGTAACTGTCTTGACCTTGGAAGCAGAAACTAAAAACTTCCTGTCTTCCTAATTGGCTTAAATAAAACTATCTCTTGAACACCATAACTTGAAATGGCTATTATAAATTTTAAATGACATATTAGGAACAGTGGCATTCAACAGCAGCCTGGTCACATAACTCTTGAATTGAAAGAAGAATAGTATCAATTTGTTTTAGGTGTTTTGGTTGGAGTGACCTGGGAATCACAGAAAACAGTAACTTAATTAGTGTAAAATATATAACATTCTATAGTGTACTGTAGTGTAGTAACCAATTTATTGAATATCCAGACTGTCAATCAAAGTTATCAATTTACTTTGCAGCAGTCAATGGAAAACACCTGGAATGGCATACTGTCATTAAGAAAGACATGTTTGAACAGCAAAATGTCAAAGGGTGTTGCTAATATTTTGACTACTGTTTTTGAAAAAGAAAACAAAAACAATAATAGTGATAATGGACAGTCATTTACTGTCTGTGAACTGAGAACATACAGTATAACTAACTGTTGGGCTTCAAGGGGCCAGACTGTTGAGTCTATACAGTATAATATTGTATACTGTAGGTGTATATTATATAGTGTATACTGTAATATCATATATTATACACATCAGTTATAGGTGACTAGGAAGTGTCTCTAAGAGTTCACATAAAGTGTTTAACATCTGGCAGCGTAAACACTTACAGCTTCAAAATAGAGGGGATGTTTGCCGAGATCTGGGGGATTCCCTGATAGAAAAACGGCTGCAAAGTTTACCATGGTGTACCTACAGTATGATGTTCCTTATAATGTTAAGTTGTGGGTTATTGATTGTCAGTATATTATATTGTCAAGAAGTGAAGAAGAACAGAGGAAAGAAAGAAGGTCAGACCGCAAGAGAGAAGTCAGGAGACTGCTCCGACTTCTTGATCATCCAAACAAAACCTGATAGAAGTTACGTATTTTAACCTTGCTTGAGAGAGCTTGTTTTAAGGGAACTTGGGTTTCCTGGATGAAAGATACCTTGGTTAGACACGTCTTTCCTTCTTGCGGGTGCATTTTAGAAGAGGAGAAGAAGATAGGTTTGAGAAGAAGAACTCCAATTTATTTTGTGAGAGAGAGAGAGATTTAACTGCAGGTTGCATTGCATTTATTTAGAAGGCAGTGTTATGAGCGTACTGGCGCACTATGGCTGCCGTTGCATTATCCAGGTCCCCATTGCCTGTAAAGTGCTTTAAGTGGAGTGTCCAGAAAAGCACTATATAAGAATGTTAGGCTTCTAAAAAGTCTTGTTTGTACATATTGTAAATATAGTAACTTGTGTGTTGTATGATTTGTCATATGTAGCGTAATGTTTGTCTTGTCCTTGTGGTAAACATTTGTTTAACTAAATGTGTCTGGATCATTACTCTTTTGACCAAAGCTGTGCCCGTGACCAAAGAATTCACACGGCTCCTGTTATACCAGCCACTCAGGTATACAGAATTCTGTATAAATCACTTATGAAAGTTTATTTTACTTATGACAAAACAGCTTAGCCAATCCCTGAAATTAATCATTTTCAAAACTCCCCCTTTGTAACAATATGTATATCTCTACAGTATGTATGTACTGTATATACAGTATATTGTATTCCATTTACAGGGTAAAAATTATATTGATAAATACATTTCCATAACCAAATGATTATAAATTCAATAAAGAAAACAAAATGCACAAGAAACTACTTCATGGGGAAGGATCCAGAATATGAAACAGGTGCTATTATCAGAATGAAACAGACACTTCAAGAAGCCTGTTTGACAATGTTTCAGGTGACATAAATATATCTCTGTCTTCTTAAATAGAACTTTTGTAAATAAGTTTGTTTGAGTTAATCAGGAATATTGAACTATTACCCGGGCATTCTAATTGATTTTAGCATATTTTAAGCTGACTTTTTCTGTCTTAAAGTTTTTTGCAATTAAACAATCTTCGGAGTTTAGCTTTAGCTGTCGGAAAAGTATTGGTGAATAGGTACTATACTCTGTTAGAGATTTCTTTTTTCCAGGAAGTATGGTCAAACTTGTACGAAAATATTGAATTATGGAGTACACAAATTTATCAAATTATATCAAATATCACATTTTAATAATGAAATTATAAATGAACTGCCCACACCTTTGAAAGCTCTCCCTAGGCCTGACAGAGCAAGAAAATGAAAAAGTCAATTTATGTGATCAGAATTCAAAATGAAAGACGTGATTCAGAAAATATCAACCTGAAGCTACAATATGGAAGAAGACAAAAATACTTTTTATTATTGTTTGACTTGCAGTAATACTCCATTTTTTTCATTACAAAAATGTTATCTGACTATATTGCACTTAGTCATTCTAAAATAAATCATTGTTATTCATTCTCTAAAGAAATCTTTTCACCTGTTTGAGAGATTCACTTCACTCGCTAGAAAAGCACTTCTCTGAGTGTATGTTGAGCCCTATGATCACAAATTGAGTCATGACACGAACCAAATGGGACAGGGATTCCCCAAGCAGATACATACTGTATACTTATCGTGCTGTATGTCTCTTTCACAAACTTTCCCAACCACATCTGTAAGCAGCGTTTGTTATTCTGGGACTTCCTCAGTTCTTTTTGTAAAGACCAAAGTCCTGTCCTGTAAGAGTTAAACAGATTCTATGGACAAATTCATAATTAACAAGTAAAAACACATTCTGTGATCATTCACACATATCGCACTATTGCAAGTCTGTAAAAACAATTCTGTTTTTCATTTGTTTATCAGACAGCTAATATTCAAAGTGGAGTAACCACAATGAAATTGGATTTATTAAGGAAATTAGTCTGACAAGAATGGGCTTGGGTAATATGATTTGAGGTAATGAGGCTTTAACAGAGACCCATCCTGCAACAATAGAACAGAGTTTTTAATATCTAATAATGTCTTGGAGATATCTGAAAGCTATTCCTTAATTCATTTAAATGTTTGGATGCTGCCCTGAAACTGATCACCTATTTTCTATTTTAAAAAAGAGACCCATAAAGCCTGAGCTATGTTAAGCAAAATGGAAATATATATCTGTATATAATTAACAGAGTAGGTAATGTATGACAGATCTGCTGGAGGTTACTCCCAGTAAACCAGTTATGCAGAGACCAGGTGAGCAGAAACAAAGATGTTCTGAAGGTTCTTAAACATATTCCTTGTAAGGTAGTGTTAAAGTTCTTTTTTGTCTGGAGACTTTATTGTTCCACAGTTAAATGCATAGTTTATAGGATCTCATTGGGATCTCATAATCTCTTTTACAACCTTTCCCATCAGCAGTTTTTGTTTTTCTGGGACTTCCTCAGCTCTTCCACTTCTTCAAGAAGCTTCTGCAGTGGGCATTTGATCTTAGTTTGACTGGACTGCAGTTGGCTGATCTCTATCCCAAGTCAGCCTCATTTTTCTCCAGTTTGTCTCTGCAGCACATTAGCCTGCAAAGCCTCTCAATTCGTACTTGGCTCTCTGATCACCCTGGTGCATTCTTGATGTAATGTAGCTTTTAATAATTGCTTACACTTATATAGCGCTTTTCTGGACACTCCACTCAAAGCGCTTTACAGGTAATGGGGACTCCCCTCCACCACCACCAATGTGCAGCATCCACCTGGATGATGCGACGGCAGCCATAGTGCGCCAGAACGCTCACCACACATCAGCTATCAGTGGGGAGGAGAGCAGAGTAATGAAGCCAATTCATTACTCTGCTGGATGGATTCTAATCACCATTGTGCTTGATCTTAGTTTGGCAAAACCAATTAATGGTTTTGAGATCTCTTCATCCTACACCCTCTTTCAGTAATTTAGAGTATGGTGACTAATTTCCCTTTGTCCACCCCTTCCACTATGTATTTCTCAGGATTTTTGCTTTTTTCCCAATTCTACAATTCATTGAGGAAAGGACTTCAATTACGTCTTTCTTCTCATATTCTAAACTGGATGGCAAAATCTTCTCTTTATTCAGGTACAGTCTCCAGGTACAGTCTTTTTTTCTTTTTTTGTATAAAATTCTTCAGCCTCAGGCATCACCATCATCAGTTCCATATTTAAGTCTTGCAGCTCTCTTGTTTCTGGCTGCATTTTATGTTTTCCTTCCTCTTTTCCAAGCTTTCTTCCATCAATTATTTCTTTTGGTCTCTGTTCCAACAATGCACCCGGTTGTCATTGTTTTTTTTTATTAGGGCTTCCTTCATAGTCTGCTGGTTCAGGTTGTGTTTTTTTCTCAATAAAATTCTCTCTCACCGTTTCCAAATGGCCATTAGAATCCACTGTACCCCAGGCCACAACCTATGTCATGTTCTCCAAACATATGTGGATTGCCCAGGGGCAGGGTGCTGTAACAGCATCATTAAATGGGTAGGTGTAACTAAACCTCACACACAGCCATAAGGTACAAAAAACAATACAGTTTATTTCCAGTTCAAAGAAAAATAAACCAAATAAACTGAAACTACAGACAAAAATCTAACTCTTCTTCTGGGCTCTGAATGCATTTTACCTGTCTCTCTCCTTTAGTAAAAATGATTTTAATAAAAGAGACAGTTAATCTCCTTAACTGTCCAGCAACAAAACAGACTCAATCAAAACACTTTTCCAAAAAAACTACTATACTCTCCGAAAAAATTAAGTCAGTCTCTCTTCAAAACCTTTCAAACATTTGCAAAGTAAACAGGTCTATCCTTTGTTTGCTTACTTGTTCCTTTCACCCTCTGATGCATTGCATTTTTAGAGGCTCTGCTTTCACACCAAGACAGCAGATGTTGCATGAATAAGATACAATAAGATCACTTTATTGGCCATATACAATTTCTTGTATAAGAATTTGTCTTTTTCACATACCTCAACTTGTTCTCCCTGAGACACACAGACAGGGAGAGAAGCTTGGGGTAAGCTATTTATATGGCACCCCTGGAGCAGTTGGGGTTAAGGGCCTTGCTCAGGGGCCCAACAGAGTAGGATTCCCAGGATATGAACTAGCTACCTTCCAGTCACAGGTGCAGATCCTTAACCACACAGCCACCGCACCACCCTAATGTCACTTGCCCAATTGTCTTCCACTGATTTTAGAAATACAATGGTAATCAGAATCTACTTTATTGTCCAAATACAGTATAGTGGAAATTTTCCATTGTGCTCACTGAGACAACAGTTAAAACAGTGTATATATTGTACAGTACAGAGGATATGATGAGAGATACTAAATATGTATGCATATGATACAATTGCATCACTATGTCTAGAGGTTTTAAATTCAACCTCAAAAGCAGCTAAAAATGCAAATCTAATTTACATTGTGACTACAGCAGGAGGACATCATTATCAGCAAGTACTGTAAAAGTGACTTGAAAAAAAACATCTATTTTGCAGACCTTAATTTAAACAATATACCGTACTTTAAATACAACTTGCATTTTAGTCAAAAAAGGAGTACATTTACAGTATTTAACAATGTCTTTCTTTTTTATAAATAATTAGGTTTCAGAAAGATGTAGTATTAATATTAACTACATCCGTAACAGACATAATAAATTACTGTCATTCAAGATAGCACATTCTGATGCAAAATACAAAGGTGTAAATGAAATCAAATCATTGTCATTAGTTAACCCTCTAATAACCAAGAAGGACCTTTTGTGATACTGTATGAATATAAATTTTTATTACAGTTTCAAGATTATTTGTAGAATACTTTCGAATTTAGAATTTAGAATTGTCTGGGACTCAAATTATTTTAAAAATTTAGAAATTTCTAGGTTGTGCAAATCTAAATAACCAATTATTGTTTAATACAAAGATTTGGACCCCAACATTCCAGTCCTATGCAAGGACTGCAGGATTGAGAAGTGGCTGACTGACCCCAGCTGTGCTGTGGAGAAGCCAGAATACTAAATCCAAGGAAGTGTACAGTAAACATAGTGTCAAAACAATAGCAGAACTGTATGTGATGAAAGATGTACAGTATATGAACAATACAGTGCTCTGTAGGGCTTTAAGTTTTCTATACAAGCAAGGATATTACTTGAACTCAGGTATAAAGTCCAACTGACACTGCTAGTGAATTTAATTTTTTGTTGCTGTTCAATCTTAGAGTCAACATGCTTTTTTACATGAAGTACTTCAACATCTCTATGAACTTTTCATGTCTTACATTCTGAAAGTAATATTTGAATAAGACACATTAAATATTCTTTAACATTTAGTGTTAAACACAGTTAAACATAGCTCATTTGGCTATGATGATCATCCAGATTTATATAAAAATGTATCAAACACTGTTTTAATTTAAACACTGACAAAATACAAATGTTTTTTAAAATACTGTTTTTGTATTTGTAGGGTTTTTGTAACACTGCTATGCTTAGTAATGCGAGCAGAACATTATGAGCATTCCTTGCTGAGACTACATCTAAGAATATTAAAGAACATGTTAAAGAATATTGGTAAAGACTTACAGTATGTAGCACAAGTAAGCTTTGTAATTATATAATGCAATATGTCACACTAAGACAAACAGGAGAAACCTGTACCAAGCATGAACCCAGGATGAATAAATTGAACATTTCTTCATGTTAATTAAAATGCTAGCAGTTACTATATGTATTGCATGATGTGCAGAAAGCTACAGATTTACAGTACAGATTTGGGAGCCTAATCACATCTCTTTTCACTGCTCTGTGATAGTACTCTGAAGCACTTTTTCATTATGAAGAAATGTAAATGGATTTATCTTGCATTGTGAAAACATCTCATTAATTGTTTAATTAGTAACCCTAATAAATACTTCAAATGTCCTAACTTGGCTTAACATGGTGAAATAAAAATGGACTATTTGATAATTGAAGATGAACCTATCCATCCATTTTCTAACTGCTTTATCAAATACAGTACATGTTCACGGGGAATCCGAGCCTATCCTAGCAAGCAATGAGTGGAAGGCAGGATACATCAGGCACACACTGACACCAGGGCAAGTTTTCCCAGAAGCCAGTTTCCTACCCATATATCTTTGGACTGTGGGAGAAAGCAGGAGCTCTTGGTGAAAACCCATACAAACACAAGGAGAACACACAAACTCCAGACAGACATCCAGTTCTGAAATTGAACCTAAGGACCCAGCACTACGAGGCTGCAATGCTAACTACTGTGCCACTGTGCAACCCCTAATTGAAGATGAATATTAATACTATTCTAATTTGTCCAAAATATTTGATTTTCTCACATTTTTCATATTCTCATATGAAAAGCAAAACATGAAAAACTAAAATAATCTACATTTACCTTACTAACAACATTCTTAACAATAACAAGGTCTACAAAGATTACAATGGTAAAGTGAACTGTGTTGTTGCACTGTAGGAGTAATTGTCAGCCTGTCCACAAATAGTAGTGATTGAATGAAGTCATTAATAATGTCCAGGTAAAAGGGGAATTTCATTATGATCTTCTTTATTATATGTAATCAAAAATAACCAAATGATTACCTTCAAACATAAAACTTAAATATACAAAATTCAATCATTTTTATTTAAAAACACACATTGTTTAGCAGCAGGGGTAAGCCATTAATTCAGATTATCATTCATTCCAAAATGTCAATCACATTTTGAAAAGTCTAGTTAAGATGCAAAATCTTGCCAACAATTATAGATTTTATTCTTTAGATTCATTTTAAAAATGGACACTGAGTATAATTGTTTTTAATTATTTGGATTTTATGAAAAGAAGCACAATTATTAAACACCTGATATGTCATATGATGAAGGAAGAAAAAAGTATACACATTGGGTGCTTGTTCATGTCAAATGAATTGGTTTATTGTAAAAAAGAAAAGAGAAAAAAAGTTTTTAAAATAATTTCTTTTTCATCCCTTTGTAAATGATTTAAGAAATCATGAAATTAAGACATGCTGTGATGTGAAATTGCATAAGGCTTTAAGAGAGTGTCCGTCTCTAGATTTATAGCTCAGTCTAATAAATGCTGCACTTACCAGGTGATAAAAACCAATGTGAAAATAACACTATTTTCCAAACAAGTGCTTTCACAGCAAATAATAGGTTTAATATAATAATCAAATAAAAACAAATTAGAATTTCTGTGAATATTGTAATATAGTGCAGATTTGTTTGCAAGTATAATGACTTTTTTTAAAAAGAGAGTCCACTTTATTTTGCTACTGTACCTATTGATCCATAAAAATACCCTTCCACCTTCCAAAATTATTCAGTTTTTTATCAAGAAGATCATATTTAATATGCAATTTTAATTTTTATTAGTTTTAGATGAATGACAAATGAGATATTTCCATAGTTTAATCTTCGAAATAAACTTAATCAACCATGATGCAGGTTAAGTATGTTGGTAACATTTCATAAATACAAATTGAACATTAAGCTGTAAATTAGCAATATTTGACTTTTGAAATGTAATAATCAGGTTTTAATGTAAAATGAAGAAGGAAAATTAAGGGTAGATTAAAAATAAGTAAGGATGGAAAGGATCAGGTTCACTTCACTCACATATAGAGCATACTGTATATTTTGGTTAAGCCGATGAACTTCTTAAACTCAGGCAGAGTTCATACTAGAGTATATCATACTCTAATGCACCTACAAAGTACTTAATAAAATCATGACATTAAAAACCAGTAAAGTCCAGTCCTTTTCAGCAGAATCAGAGTACTGTAGCTACACTATTTAATAATAAAGATTTATCCATTTTGTATCAGAATTTAATTTGTTGTGGATAGAGGTGTGCACTCCCACATCCCTTAAATGTTGGTCCATACAGTCTTGATTTGAGATATTATTATTACTACTACAACAATTTACTATAACTGTAAGTATTACAGTTATAAATGAATACATTCACAATACAATTAATGACAAGATTATGATAATATTTAACAATAACTGTAGTTATATCCTTCTAATTTAAATAGGAAATGTCAGTCTTCAGCAGGAGAAAATCTTGGAACAAAGAGGTTTGAATTGTGTTCAAGGGGTGAAAGTCACAGGAAGCCAATGTGTATTATATTATGTTCTTTGGAACACACACATATTGCGTTTTACAATTTCCAACACATTTATCTACAGTTTAAGGTGCAGTACTGCAAAAAAATTGGTTTTGCTTTCTAATGGACATTTCAGTATTTATGCACTTAAAGTCTAACTGTAAAACCATAATAGTGTAAACTATAAATAATTCCTTCCTTTGCATACCTTTAAACTGGTTCTTTATTCTAAATAAAAGCTGACATGCATGGTGCAATGTGCAGTAGCCAAGTGTCTGTTTCTCTTATGCTGTGACAGTGTTGCTGAATTGAGGAAAATATATTTAGGGTTATAAGTGAACTGTACTGACTGCGGAATGTGCTTTAGGTTAAAGCAGAAGTCAGAGCTACTGTAAGAAAGTAGGCAGTAAAAAGGCACCAAGTGTCACGCCCTCTGCAGACAGAGGGCGCTCCTTCTCTGTCCTGTCCCTAGTTTCCGGTCTGCTGTCCTTCCTGTCCCTCTCTTTCCCTTGGGCTATATATTTCCGGGTCTTGC